CCAGGCTTGCTAACTCCATATATGGAAGTGCTGATGCTATATTTAGCTGTAGGGAATGTTGTTTAGATTTCGTCTTCATGGCCAGATCAATTAACTATCAGCTGTAGATGTTACCGTTATCAAGCAAAGCATATGGAAAATGGAAGGGTACCTTGTTAGTTTGAATTTACGGAGACTATGTTTTTATTATCCATAAATAAACAATATTATAATCATAATAATAAAAAGCTGCAAGTGGCCCAATGCTACAAAAAGGAAATAAAACAGGAAAAAAGATGTAAAAGATAATTGAAAGTGACAAAACCTGTGTGGAATCGATTTAGCGTGCTGTATCCTTGACTGACTGATCAGTTTGGATAGACATTCTCATTACGTGTCGCCAGTAATATCTCCTATCAAACTCCCGGCATCCGGGGATTTGTCTTCCAATCTCCCCATTCTCCCGACACACCACCACGGTAACTCCGAATTCATTTAAAGTATAATTGAATCCCAAAATTACCCGTTATCTAAAACTCTGCAATTAATACAAACCTCCGTCGGCGTGCTATCTGCGTTTACGAGGCCGTTCTTACGTAATCCCCCTCCAGGACCCAGGTGCTTCCCGCGAAATTCCATTACCGTTAACCCGACCAGAACGATCCGCCTATCGCTGATGGATTCTCATGAAGGGACGGTTGCCATGAGAACGGTGATCTGTTGATCTCCCTTAACTGGTCGTTCTAGACTTGGTGTTGATCTACACCGGAGATACGACACTCCCTATCAACTTCTTAAGTGATAAAAATGAAATGAGGGAAAGCTTCAATTGCTCATGGAAACTTCCGTTTTCTTTTATGGTTAAACTTACTTATATTAGCTACGGTAAAAGTTGATAGATACGCATATAAATGTATGTTTATCGTGCATGATACAATAAAAACGATTTTCAACAAGGATCTATATTTGGCTATTAGGGTACTTGTATACTGTTGAAAAACCACATTGGCGCCACGTTAAAATCATATTCCCCCAAGCCATTACAAAATAAGTACTTTACTTTTACTTAACTGTCTGCTACTTTATGATCATTCAGACAGATTGTTGAGTTTTACCACTTTTCACCCCTAAGCAGACCTTTTGTATGTGTACAGGAGATGCAGCACATCGATTTTCCAATAGCTGCACCCCTGACTGGGTTCTAGTTACAATGCCACAAGGTTTTATTAAAACTTCAATATTTGGTCACTGATGCAGACTGGCATTGGCAAAGTGACTTACTCATTTTTCCTCCAAAGAATTGTGATCAAAATGGATGTGGCAGTGGCAAAAAAGTAAAAGAAAACTAAGTTATTATAGCAGTTTTTTTCACTCATTAATGAGTGTCATTTACATGTGTGATGTGTCAGATAACTGTCATAATTAGAATGCTGTGTCTATTCTTGCAGTTCACACCTTTTTAAACTTCCATTGTTCACACCAATGAGGATGATTCGGTGTGCAAATCAAAAGGTATTGTTATCCGTGATTATCACAGCTGGATACATAAAAGCTATTGTTCTTCATCAAATAAATTAGTGCCAATACAATACACTCTTTGGGTACCTGAACAAAAAAGTTTTAATGAGCAAAAGAATGCAAATTGTTTGCCAAAGGAGTTAGCCAAACTGGCCAGCTATCTTCTCTGGTGAATCATTCACCCTATTCGGCCAATTCTGTCAAAGGAAAAAGTCTGGCACAGATAGCGGGCCCTGTACAGCTAGATTGGTCACCTATGAGTTCAATACAGTCTCAGTGGGCCACTTGCCCAGACCACACACTTTAGTGCCTCTTGGGTCCATTCCCTCAACACGAGTCCATTAAAGTATAAAGAATTGTACTTAAAACTTTCCCCATCCTATCGTAAGGATTTCTCTCCAATCCCTGTAGCTATTAGAATCATTAACATATTCCTTTTCCATTGCCAAAGGGGTATTACTATTAAAATTATGTTGGCAAGGAGGCATCATGTAAATCTATAATGTATAGTACATGTATAATTGTATATTGTATATATAACAACACTATATTGATCTCTATAAACATCAATATTTCTCAAGTAACTACTTGAATGATAACTTACATCAAGATAACCAATGGTTTGAGTTAACCTGATCAATACTGTAAACCACAACTACTTGAACTAGTGAAATATGATCAATGTATGTACAGCTGCTGATGTATTGATTCCTGTAACGACTGTAACTGCAGCCACACCAGGCCCATTGTTCAGAAAAATCAATATCTCTGTATGCTGACATTTAATCACAGATATACCATTTAAGGAAAGATCCCTCAAAGTTAAAGTCTGTGACTTGCATATCAACTTGGACAAAGAACTGCATCAGTTCTCTTTCACACTGTAAAACATTTTAGGATCTATTTCATCCATGTTCTAGTATCATATGTTGACCCAAGGAGGTTGACCATTGCTTACATGCAAATTGTACAATTATACTTTACCTTTGCAAAATGCTTTTGTTGCTTTGTTGATGTACTTTAAATGCTGGTGAAATCTGTGTTTGAAAATCACTAACTTCCTGCATCTATAAAAACATTCATTCATTCATTCAGTCCTCTTGCACGATGTGCGTCGAGTCTATAAAAACATGCACTCAAGCATTCTTTTCCATGCAGCAAGCTGTCCAATATTCCCCATAGTGTAGCAATTGACCTGGTTTCTTGGAAGGATCAATCAGTAAAGCATTGAGATAAGTAGGGTTGCCTACATCCATAAAACCTGACAGTCTTTGATCACAGAGGCAGATACATGAACTAGTGGTCAGTCCTGGTAGCTGTAGAGACAAAATTGCATTACTGTAAGCTGGATGCCAACCTGGTTAGTGCATGTCTGCTCCAATAGTGGTTGGTGTAGATTGAACTACTACAGTATGAAAATATTTTGAGTAGACTATGAATGCATTTCTATCTAAGGATTGAGCTGAGAAAGATGGAGCAGGAGGATGATTGAGAAAATGAAGGTACGTATTCCCCCTTTCATATGAATATCTTTCTGCTGTCATTTTGTATTTTTTCCTGGTCCATTCCTTTTAATAATACAAAGTGTTTCCAAACTCCAAAGCAGCCACAAGCCTTTTCCAACCATAGTTAGCAACAAACAAAAGAAAGAATATTTTCTTTTCCAATTGTCAAAACTTGAAATAAACTTTTATTATGTCTCTAATAATTAATAATAAGGTGACTAATTACCTACTAGTATTAGACTAATTAATCAAAGCGATGCAATTATTAGACATTTGTCACTATTGGCACATTTACTTTCTTTAATGTAATTTACACTGACAAGTAATTAGCTGTAAATGAGCTGAAAGGACAGCTTCAGTGCCTGTCTTTCCTACCCCTCAATTGCTCGGCCCAATTGCTCTATACATCACAATAAAAATTACATACATGTACAAGGATATTCACAATTCCATTCATATCATACAAACCAAGCTAACACCAAATTTCTAGGCAGACAAACTCACCACAGATGTCAGAAATGAAAAATGACTCTCAAGAAGAGTACTGAAGTAATTCATCTGTAGATGCCTTAATGAATAGGAACACACAACCCCAGGACAACCCCATTAGAACTGGATGACTGGTATAAGGGAACTTGGCAAAGAACCGTGAAATCACTCCAGCCAAGAATCTTCATAAAGCTCTGCGATCACCCATCTTAGTGTCATTTTTCACATGCAAGGACATGACAAGAATGCAAAATAATTTTACACTGGTATGGTGAGGATTATCACATCATTTTTCTGATGGCAAAAATGTTTCCAATTCAAAACAAAAGTTAAAATATCATCAATCAATCAATCAACCAACCAATCAATAAATCAAGTAATCATGTTTATTATCTTCTGCTTAAACTACTAAAAGTCAAGGAAGTACCAAATCACTTTGCATATTTGCTCACTGCATATCAAAAACATGCACACAACAAAAACATTATATTATGGCAGCTGTCACATCACACAAGTGCAACTTGTAAATTTAAATCTATTTCATCATAATTTGAATTGATGTTCACATTCACAACATCAGCTTATGACCCAATGGATTTCCATATAATATTCCCTTTGTAAGGTAAAGACTTGAAAAAGAAACTTATCTAGTAAATAGATAACATTATATTTTGCTTTCCTTTGGAAACTCCCAAACCGACACTGTAGCAAACGTTCGACTCCACATAATTTCCATTTTGCCACGTGGATGGCTACTCTGGATGGCGACAGAATGGACCGCTGCTACAAAATCAGGGGCGCTTAAAACATTTTCCATATAGAAGACACATGTGGGTGACGCAAATTCTTGCTGGTGAGCTAAGAACCTTCAGCAGACATAATTTAGAAGCAGGTTTTCTTCTGGACACAATTTTCTGGAAAGGCGATCTGGGTCAGGAAGTGTTTATATAACGGTCCCCGACATAATCCTTCCGTCTTTCTGTTTTTAGTGAGCTGGATTTCCTCTCCTCAAGGAGTTGTCACGACTGCACATAATATGGACCAGCCCACTTAATACTGTACGGTCAAAGTAAGTGGTCTGCGGAAATACATGAATTATTTTGATGCGTCGCCGATGTGGCAAGCGATCAGCAAGAGACGCAAACAAACTGTCATGATTTGCTATAATTTTGTGAAACTGACACAACGCCCTCATGAAACGTGGCGCGATGTTTATTATCGACAGCGAGGAATCTGCTGTTTACTTGGCTTGAGATCGCACATATATACTAGTATTCTACCAAAGATGACTATAGTATGAACGTCCAGTGAAAGTCCGGCGACAAAGCCGGGAGGGTTTTTCCACGCCAGCTGTCACCCGCTAGCGGCTAGCTGTCAAGATTCCACGCTGTTGCAGACGACGTTCGGCAGTAGCGGAAGCTATGTCCAGAATTCGCTTAAAAACACACAGACGGATGACATATAATGCTCATCTGAAAGGTTGGAAAGAAAGAAGAGATAGCAACCTACCTTCTTCTCCCAGTGTGGAAAAGTTTCCCGTCAGAACGACGAAAACTTCGGAGGAATTGTGGAGAGAGTCGGAACCACGTCCTGCTAGCGGCCGCCATTTTTTCAGACTTACTATGAAGCCGGCTCATTTGCATGAAATGCGGAGTAATAGCCAATCAGAAGCCTCCCAAGAAAAGTCAATATTTTGAATGATCTCTGAAGGGTTTTGCATTTAAAATTCGATATTTGATGCAATATCCGTACCCGTAACTCAACAAAATCGTTACAGATTTTAATAAATTAACCCTAACTCGCGTGATTTAATCAAATTATTGCATCATTTTTGTTAACCTAGTAACTTCAATAACCAGGGGAAAGGTCATGGGTCATGTGACAAAATAGACCAAGATGGCGGCAGAATCGTCCCAAACCCAGGAGATGACAGCTGTAGGCGGCTCTGGAGGACCCGGCGAAACGGAAGGGGGTAAGAAGAGGATAGCGTCCGATGCACGGGGATCTTGGGGAGTTAGTGAAGGAGGCTGGCCGATGCCGGTGCTGTTTGGGAAGAGGGAAGCGCCGAGAAAGACCGGTGAGTTGGAGGCGTGGCATATGCGTGTCTCGATATGGTGTGATTTGAATATTGTTGTTGCTTTTGACGTTATATAACACAGTGTGTCATTGTTGCAGCTGCTATTTTCAATGCAGTAGTAGGCCAGACTTTTGCTTAACCTCAAAAGCTGTCTTGTTGTCTATCTAGACGTTAATGACTGTAATTAAGTTGAAATTAATTTGGTCTTCAAATAATTTCTCTGCTTCCTGTTTGCTGTAATGACCTACATATATATCAGATAAATTACTACTATCAAATACTGATAGGACATTGAAGAACAGTATATACTGATGTCCAAACCAACATTAGCTGTTGAGTCTCTTTTTCCCTCTCTGCAAAGAGTGAGAGTGAAAGAGACTCGACAGCTGTGGTAATTTTTAAGGAGTTTCACAAATAAGAACTTGGGCAAAAGAATTGCCTAGTGTCAAACTCAAAGGCGAAGGCCACCTAGAAGTAAGCAAAAATGCATCAGAGGATCACACAGCGCTGCCCACCTATGTTTTGTTTGTTTGTTTCGCATAACCAGTAAACTGCCTTTTTAGGTGTAACACACCAGTTTTGTACATCTAAGTAGAAGTGGCGTAAGCCCGTAAGACCAGTTTGTAAGGTTAAAAATCGTCTGGTTTGAACCACTCACACTGGGAAGGGCCCCTACTCTTTTCAAGTGCGGTGGGTTCTTTAATGTGCGTGGAGTGTGGCTCTCCCCAAATACAGGACCTCCATTATATTTAACATCCTATCTGAGGGACATCTCTTACTGAAGCTAGGTACTCATTTCCAATCCGGGACCTCTTTGTCCTGAGCTGAACATGCTACTGTTTATGTCACACGACCTCTCCCCACCCCACCTCCCTCAAAACATGGAAATGCAAAATGAAAACATAGAAATTTGACACCTTCTGTTTATGCTTCAGCTTTGACACTGGGCAGGCACATGCCAGATCTGGATACCGGGCTAGGCCAGCAAGGAAGTTGATATCATATACCACATGTCTGAGGCCATATTGTTGCAAGAGTGTTACAGTTCATATGTGTAGCATGCATAGATTAGAAATCTGCCTCAGGACTAGAACTAGAAGGTCAAGCATTCAAGTGCTGGGTTTTGAAATTTGTTTGACTGACTTGCATACTGCTGAAAAGGATGGCAACTCTTCAGGCAGAGTGTTAAGTTGTGGCCTCCTATTCATTGTGCTTGTAAGGAAATGTAGAGAAATTCAACCTGTAAATTGATCCTGGATATTATGTGCGTTGCTGTAAAATATGTCCTTGTCAGTCAAAGACAAGCTTTTTAGATAGCTAAAACGTGATGGAGGTATATGTTCCTCTTTTTCTTTCATTTGCCTTTTTTGGTGGATAAAGCAAAGGGTTGCTACAGGGCAAATGGATACATTCAGACATACCAGTCATACTAATAGAGCACAGTACACAAAATCATTTTTGACATAGTTCACTATAAATGATTCAGTAAATGTTAGTTATATATAGCTAGCATAGCGATAGTATATAAATTGGGAATATTTATCAAGTTGAGAAGGCCTACATACTGAAAGGGAAATTGTCAGTTGAACATTGCAGATTAATCATAGTAACATAGCTTTAGCCAGCTTCTTGGTACTCAAAATAAATACGTATGCTTGTCAATTCTTACAATATGATGTTGTCCCTGACTTCATGTCCTTGCTACCTTACTGTAATCCTATATATCGAGCTTCATTCTTAACTAGATTAGAAGAAACTAAAGGCTGTGCCAGATGATACTATTACTACTCAGACATGCCAGGCCAAGAAAACTACTTAATAGGCAACTTATGAAATTTGCCTTATTTGGCAACATACCCAAGCTATATTAATTTTGTACTTTCTTAACCTAACCTTACTTGTTAGTATCCTAACCACTACATTCTGTTCAGTGTACTGTTGTAATTGAAATTCAGTACTCAGACAATGCATTTACTACTACTAGTATGTATGTGTTGCCATAGTGTCAGTAACACCATCAGATAGAAGCCCTAGAATACTCATGCCCAGTGACAGGCACAAGTGACAAAGTGCTAGTAGATGACCGTATTTGGATAAAAGATGTGCAGTCCCAGTGTGATTGTTGTGATAGTGCCTCTGGGGCAAGGCCAAATTCAATTATCCCTGATGTTTACATGGTGTAACAGCTGGCAAAGTGAAACTGGTCCAATATAATTACATTATCAACAGTCTGGACTCAGCAGTCAGATCAATTGGAGGCCCCTCCTAAATTTGGGTATAGTATTTTACTAATTTTTAGTGCTGAGGCAGGGCCTGACTCACTGGATGCTGTTGGTTCTGTGTATTTGTTTTTTCTTGTCATGGAAACAGGTGAGATTATTTTATTTCATCTATTAGTATAAGGTTGAAGAGAGTCAAAGGTACAATATAGAAAAGCTTGGATGAAAACTTGAAATGTTGTGCTGACAGAAATATGTTGTTGTGTCGTAAGATATTGTGATAGTGTTGTAATGAGGTACATGTATTGTAATAGTGTTGGACAGGTATAACTTTCAATTCTCAGTTTGTGTCAGATATATATGTATATGACATCATATTATATGTAACAGTTTCACTGTAATGCATATACATGTATAATGGAGTTGGTTCTAATCTACCAATAGCCTTGTGTAAATTCCATTAAGATAATGATTAATGTTTCCTCGGACCTGTTTAGCAGTGCAATGTTGGCATCTGTAGGAATTTTTTCCTGCATATGAGATGGAGTTGGAGAGCCTATAAGACTTGGGCTTTTTCTGGTAGAGTAGCAGTGCAACCTTTTGATATAGAGATGAATTGCAAAGGTTTCAGCATCAGTGACTCCATGCATTGCCATGTCTTGTCACCAGGTGGCACTGTTGTACTGTCGCATCATGATAATGTGGCTATACAACTGCAAGTGAACAGCAAAATGAAGTGAGCTTCTTTCTACGATAGCATTCATCTCATATGCAACATTTTAATGGTAACTGTTTGCATTGTTTGACCTTCTCCTTGGTAGATTTTGGATAGAAATGGCATCTCAGCAGGAATTAGGTTAAAACATGTTTATTACCACATCTTGGTTGTCAGCCAATCGTGGCACCTGCCAGACAAGTGTGATGTCATACACTTTTCCCAGAATCCTGATGACCTATGACCTTGTGAATATGGAGATTGTCATACTCCTAGATCCAGTCTTTAGATTAGTGTCAACTAGTGCGAGATAATTCAATCCTGTGACACTACATGTAGCATAGATTTTTCAAGGAGGTTATTCTAACTCCATGGATTTTTTATGTGCAAATTAATTCCAAATTATGGCATTCTTGAAATTCTATTCTTTTCACATGAACTGCATACTATTATTTTATACAGATATGTAATTTGATGTTGATTTTATAGCAGTCATGAATCAAAAGGTGACGTTTGATACATTTTACATTGTACTTACAAATTTATGATGAGTTGATTACTTGAATAAACATTCCAGCTTTTCTTTATAATTTTCTTAATTTTCTGACTCTCTTGCAATTGGCTTACAGTAGATTTATTTGTCTGCATTGTTGCAATGCATATTTTTCACATTAAAGTTACTATGAAATATGATGTTTTAAAAAATTCCATGGTAGGATGCCATCCATGAAAAATGAAGTCAACATTTCCTGTAACCCAGATTTATTCCGATGCTGTCATCGCTTGACTCCCGCGAGCATGCTCATTTTGCCACGTGGAATTCATGAATAATGAATTTATTGTCAACCTCATTAATAAAGTCATCTCATGTAAGATTTCCTCTGGGAGTCTGGGATGTATAAGTATTCATGTGCCCATTCAGAATTTTGCTTTTTGTTCAGCAGTTATGAATGCTAAAAGTGCAAAATTTTTTAATTATTATACATGTACTAGTGGCTGGTATCTGTCACTGTGCCAGCCTTTTTGCTTGCTGAGCAAAAGCTGCTGACCGCTTGACCTAGGATTGCGATTGTTATTGCCAACACTGTTAGATGTCCTTGGGGAATATGCAGATAGGTTTTTATTGTCGTTATCTGAATAACGGCGCCAGCATTGTATCATGTATCCATACAGACGGCCTGCGTCTGTAGTCATGTGATCATCTCATTAGCTATTCTGACCGTCTACTACCCCGCCTCTCCATCTGAATTATTCCAGCTTGCAGAATTTGACTAAATTTTTTCTCAGAGAGGTGAAATCTTAAGCCCAGAGATGGTTCTAGAGCTGTTCAGTCCCGTAGAGAAATTTTCACCACATTAGGACGGGTGTCTTTTGAATATTAAGCAAGCTGGTGGTTAGATTCCAAGATGGCAGAAGAGACGATTTACCTGTGTAATTTCCGCGTCTCGGTGGATGGAGAGTGGCTCTGCCTACGGGAGCTCGGTGACCTTAGCGTTACGCCTCAGTTGGAATCACCTCAAGAAGGTTAATGTCGGTTCTTTCATTTTTACTTCTCTGTTATCATTTTCATGGTCAGACGCTTTGTTCACCTCCTGTGTAAGCAATTTCATTATATGAATGCCTATCCTGAGCTGTATTGTTGGTAAATCTGAACCATACTGCAAGTAACCATAGCAGTTTGTATGATCTGAATAATGATAAAACAAGAAACAAAACCATAGGCATTAGCTAGGTATATGATTGTATTAGTGATAATATGTTCCATGGTCTTTCTCTAAGCTAAGAGTAACCAGCCATGTTATTGACTTGACACGTTTCATTACAGAGACAGTTTTCTGGTTGATTTTTTTCTTTTTTAATTTCTTGCTTCCGTGAATACCTCGTTCCATGTATGTCGTCATGTAGGCCAAACTATGCATTGCATGTACAGGGGCAGTATGCATGTACTAGTAGTGTCTGTACATCAATCAATGACAAAGCCATGAAAATGCATGTACATGTCTTTTCCCCTCTGTATTTGTATGGATGTGACATGTCATGAGTTGGGATGGTTTCAACATGACAATATAATTGCAATATGGTGTGATCATAGATCCATGCATTGTAGTGTACTTAGAAACATGGCTTTGGATCAAGGTTGTTGTGACATTTTTTATCCAAAGACACGGAAATCTGATTTAACATTGTTTTTGCTTGAAATTTAAGTAGTCATGTACGTGGTGAAAGCCGTGAAAGCAACTGTTGTAAAATTATACATAGTACACATGTTGGGATATAAATTTCAGCTACTTACCTTAGCCAATAGTAGTGTTCTTCAAATTGCTAAAGCTAAATCATAAATGTACATGTACAGGATGATACTTTTTCACCTTTAGCCCACTCCTTCCTATGCCCACATAATGTGTATGTCCTCAAAGATGACACCCCTGTTCTCTATGTTTAGGAATGGTTCTTGCTATTGGACACACTATCGGTAAGAACCACATGCACAGCCCATAGCTTCTTTGCAATAAGGATTCTGCTTCCAAATCTTGGTTGAATACCCATTGTAAAGTTGCTGTTTATTTTGGTAGATAAGATAGATATCTCGTGTATTGTTGTTTGTACCCATTACATCATATGTACAATGTATGCTATCTAATTATGTGGGAGATGTCATTATTGCAAAGCAAAGTGCATGATGTAGGAAATTTGATGAAATACATTTTATGGACTTATAGGTTATAGTACTGTACTACATGTAATACATATGTATGTAGTAGTAGAAATATGGCTGGAGGGGTTTTGTTAACAGGTAGAATTGACAGATCAAGTTGTTGTATACTCCATGAGCAAGTTAAAGAGCTTACAGGACAATGAAATTTCGTAGTTGGACCTGTGACTCCACATCTTCTTTCAGGTAGATCATCCCTCTGGGTCAGACTCGTTGAATGCTATAGACCAATCCTGAGTGCCCATCATTAAATTACCTGTTCAACCATTGATAGCATGGCAATAGGTGGTTCAACCAATGATAGAGTGGGGACATGCCCAACAAATGTTTACACTTTTCATGTTTCTAGTTTGCAATGTTGCCCGTTTTGATGGGGAAGGGCAGGGCTATGGGATTGGTCCATTGCATTATTGTTCCTAACCAATTAATTTACATTATGTGTACTTGTAATAAAACTGTATCATACATAGTTCTCTTCTTTTTTTATTAGATTTCTGTGATGTAATCTGGCTATGAAAGGCTTGGTACCATGGATTAGGTACATGAACTGACAAGTCGTCTGTTGTATCCTTCTGTAGTGCCTGAGGAGAATGACCCGCCCAAGGACCCCACAGCCATAGAGCGGGCCAACCTGCTGAACATGGTCAAACTCAGCATCAAGAGCCTGATCGAGTCGTCCTACCAGGTGGGACGGACACTGGACAAGGACTTTGCTCCACTTCAACAGTTTCTCATCGTGATGGAACATGTGCTCAAACATGGACTCAAAGGTGGGGTTTACCACACAAGAGTTGACAGGCCAGGGGTGGTTGTAAGGGATAATACATTTATGCAGCTGAGTACACTTTTGACCTCTTAAGTCTTAATGTATTTCTTTGTCACCTTCAGAACAAAAATGACTGGTTCTAATTTGTACTGCAGCTAGGTGTCGCTACTGCAATATTACAAATGCGGTCCCAACTGTATATATGCAATGTACATATTGTCAAGTAAGGTACACTGCAATAATAAGCAAGGTTGAATTACTTCTTAAGAATGCTGTCCCAAATGTGACATAGTCTATATCCTCCTCAACACAGTTTATGACAGGAGTGGATTTTCGATCCATACAGCCTCCCTTATCCAATGTGTAAATCTGTTGCCTTCCCTGCCATATACATTTTGATCAAACACAGTACAGTCCTGCCCTGTTGAAGTCATACTTTCTTCCTTCCTTCCCAGCTAAGAAGAGTATCCTCAGTACCAACAAACATGTGTGGGGTCCTCTGGAGGCAGTGGAGAAACTGGAACCCGAAGCTACTGAGATCAACAACAGTGTGCGAGAACTGCCTCAGATCAAGTAAGACAACCTTTAGTTTGATTGTTACATAAAATGTAGCATCAGCAGCAGCATCATACATCTAGATTGACAAATCCAGTGAGGTACATTAGATAAACTTTCTTCCCAGTCCTTTTTGTCCTTGCCAATAAAGTAGTGTGCAATAAAGTTTATTCTCTGAAAAAATGCAACTCCATACCCTTGCTATTTGCCATCTCAACTACAGTGTGGAGAAATTCTATGTTAATCTGTTACAGTATGAACAAGGAGAAGTCGTAGACATCATCCCTCCATGAAATAGCTTGTTATTTTGTAATCTTTTGGTGTATTTCAATAGAGATATTATGAGTCAAACTTTGTTTTTATCAGCAGAATGATTTGTGGTGGCACTTTGTATTTATCAAGCTGTCATGTGCAGGCGTTTAGTGTCTTGTTACCATGGTTTGTTTACTTTGATGGCCAGCAGGTCATTTGCCTTAGCCTGGGTACCATCCCCAGTAGTATATTCGCAGACTCTATAACTGTTATAGAGTTTGCGAATATACTACTGGGGATGGTACCCAGGCTACATTTGCCTGTACATGTAGGTCAATGACCAGACAGGCAAATGACCTGCAGACCAGACAAACAAGATTTATTTTCCTGCAGACTCTGTCTAGGGGTAAAAATAGATAGGGCTGCCTGGGTCTGACCTGCCAGCTGGAGGTATAAACAAAAACACTCTGTCCCAACTTTTGGGTCAAACAGACCATCCTATTATGAAGTAGGGGTGAAAAAGTGAAAATCCTTTTAAATTAAGCAATAAAAATATGCGACAACCTGCTAATGCACTCCAAAACACAAAGAGACTCAACAACTACCCACATACCAAAAATCATACCAAACCATCCCCCAGATTTTCCAAACATTCAACACAAAAAGTCCAACATTAAACATTTTGTAAATATCAAACGCAAACAGCTAAGGGACCCAAATTTAAACCACTTAACCATGGTAATAACAACTACATGCTACCTTAATATCGCACAAACAGTCCATAACGCGAAAACAACAGAATAAAAAAATTAAACTGCAGTACCAAGGTCAATCACCAGGGGCTCAAAGTCAACCTACACAATCTCCAAGGCCCCATCCATCAATCTGCCAAATATCGTACAGTTCCTTCTCACCGATCTTCAGATATCAGACCAAACATGAAACGGAGTAAAAACAGTACCCCCATTTTCATGGAGGGTAATAAGGGATGCACTAAAAGTGGCCTCCATAAGCAGTAACAAGAAATTATCTAACATGATGCGCTTGTACTACAGGACATACCCAGGGAAGGCCCGTGCCTGGCTGCGACTGGCCATGATGCAGAAACGTCTGGCAGACTACGTCAAGACTCTGGTGGAGAAGAAAGATGTTATGGGGTAAGTCGAGATCACATTCATGACAACATTGGGTTACAGTGGTCTTCTTGGATAGGTGATCCTTGGGCAGGTTGCTTAATGCTTGCACCTGTGGTAAAAAAATATTCAGGACTGGGAAACTGGTTGTTGTGGCCTGGTGGCTAGATGAAAAGGCTGGCTGCTTGGGCAGGTTTGACTGTAATTTGATTATGAGACTTATAAGTACACTTTATACAATACCATATCTGTCCAATGGCATGTAAATACAGGAAACTTTGGTTTTCTAGTTCCAATATTCTAGTGTCCAGTCATGTCTTTCCTTGTTCTAACACAGGGAGTTCTACGAGCCATTTGCCCTCCTGATGGAGGAGGAGGGGATGGTGTTAGCAGGACTGCTGGTGGGACTGAATGTCATCGACTGTAACTTCTGTGTGAAGGAGGATGACTTCGACTCACAGGTACTACAGTCTTGTACTACACTGATACACTGAGTTATCTATAATGTTGGATGGATATAATGGAAGACAAGTTCACACTTCTGCAGATCACCATTCAATGAATGAATAGATTTTCTGTTATACATTTTCCCAGTTACATAGGAAAAAGTAAGTGACTACAGGTATATAGAGCTATGAAGAGCTTTTGAGAAAGTTCTGCCAAAGTGCTATGCACTAAGTTCCAGGTTTTGTGCATGCGCAGTACGTTCTGCCGATATGCTGTGTATTGTGTAGTTGTCTCTGTCCCGACACTGCCCCCCTTCCCCTCCCTCCCACAGCTGGGTGTGATAGACTTCAGCATGTACCTGAAGGATCCTGGGAACTACACAGACAGGTCACCAGGAGAGGCCAGCCGGTAAGTTCTCATGGCTTCATGGGGAGGGCAACAAAACACAAAAGTGCTACCACTGGAGGTTTCCAAAAAAGTATTTCAAGCCCTGGTGCTGGTAGCAAAATTCCGACATCAACAGTATTGAGGCACTGGTTTTTGATGTTAAAACTTTAAACCACGTTGCTATAAAGAATTGTTAAAATCATTCTTGGTCAAATGATAAAAAACATGTTTCATAAGTTGGTTGATGTTATGTTTTGAATATGATTTTTTTGTGTAGTCAGCCAGGAATTTTTCTGCTTGATATACCTTTTGTGAAGACATAACAACCCTGTTAAATGATGTCCTTGCTTTTATCTACTTTTCCATGCTGCTAACTCATTACCCTGAATGGTAGGTTTACATACATGTACTTGTCAAAAAAACATAACTTTCCTTTCCATCCTCATATTCTTCACATTTTTAAAAGGATTATAGGCATTATCTAAGTCTATTTGATGTTACTTGTGTGCTTAGATATCAATTAATATTGACATGGCAACAATACATTGGTAGAGCGTGTTTCTCTTTCCTGTATATTCATCATCAACTTTACACATTGTCATGAATTGAAAGCTGGATCATTTTTTTTCTGTCAGAACTGACTCTAACTCTAGCCAAGCCAACCTGACTGCAGTGCTGGACCAGAAGAACTATGTGGAAGAACTGAACAGACACCTAAAGTAGGAACACCATTTCTCACTCACTCAGTCTCATAGCTATACGCTGTAGGGACAGCCTGTATCTGTAACTCACATAACCAACTGTTTCAAGAAATCACCTACTGTAATTCACTTTGTCTTTATGGTAGCAAATTTTCACGTTCTGCGGAAAATGGACATTTTCATTTATTTGCTCAACTTTGCTGACCACTTAGACTTTATAATGAAGGCAACTTTTTTGATTTTGCCATTTTTTCATTTGCATGCACGCATCCCAGACGATGTCATCCATATAATCAAATTAGTATGGCCTTAAACAGAAAATTATGGTGGCAACACCTTGCAATGAGTGGCTGCACACATATTACAAGAGTGGTTTAGTTGCGTTAGAAATAATTCTAAGCTGTCTTTTCTTAGTAAATTAAAAAACTGTTATGACCAAGAAACATACCTCTATGATATAAATAACTTTGAAATTCGTAAAGCAATAACTCAATTAAGAATCAGTAGCCATAAATTGAATATCGAAACAGGTAGATATTACAATATAGCCCCCGACCAAAGGTTCTGTCCATTTTGTCCAAAACATATAGAAAATGAATTTCATGTTGTTATGGAATGTACCAAATATGATGTTATACGTAACAAGCTATTTACATTTCTCGAATCAAGTACCATAGATTTTAAGAGTCTCGATGTTGGAGACAGATTTGAATATATCTTTACATGTAACGGTCCCCACAACGCAAAAATAGGTAGATATATAAAGGAATGCTTTGCTATTAGAAAAAATACCGTAACTTGTGATTAGCCCACTCGATTGTAACACTATATCAAAGACTTGTGATATCCCTTATTGTTTGAATGATTATGATATAGATATGTTAGGTTTTATTCGACATTAGGTCTTATTCAACACACTTATTTTATTGTTGTTACTCTCTTTATGTAGTTTGCCATACAATGTACCGTGTGCATTTGTCGTGCAATAAAGTTCTTCATATGACCACTTTGAAGGCATCACTGTTGTCTACTGATGATACCAGTTTTCTACACCTGATAAACTATTCATGAATACATCTTGTTGTTTCCTGCCCGTTGCAGTGCCACAGTGACTAACCTCCAGGCCAGGATTGAGAACCTGGAGAGAGACAACAGCAGTCTGTCAGAGAAACTGGCCATGGCTAACAACAGGGTCCTGCAGCTGCAGGAGGAGGGGGACAAACTCCAGACTGAGAACACCAGGATTAAGGGAGACCTGGAGAAGAAACTGGTGGTAGGACAATGTAGTTAATCTCCCATCAACTTGTAGAGATGTGCACTATTATGACTGGTTCTGGACTAGTAAAAACATTTCAATTCAGGTCCAAAAAGAATGAAAGCTAGTGATCCAGGACTGCACTTTTTAAGAAACTAGCACTTATGTATACATTCTGAACCATCTAAATTCTTCAGTAAATCAAGCAAACCAAAATTTGCACTGGAAAAAGACGAAAGTCATTGCCAAATGTCACAATAAAATATCTTCATAATCATTAAAGGAATTCTAGTAGGGTAATCATAGAAATTAGTTTTGTTCCATTTTACTCCATTTTGTCTTTTTGTACACCGTCAAGGATGACAATATACCCAGTAGTTCTGTTCATCGTGAACAACAAAATTCTGCCTCAAAAAATAAACTAGAACAGCTGGAAGCTGGTCATGAGAACACTGCTTTACACCTGAACACAGGCAGTACAACAAGACGTACAAACTGAGCGTGAGACCTACCAGAAGTCCCGAGCAGGGCTGGACGACATGTATGTCGAAGCGCAAAAACAGTTAAGAGATGAGACTCAGATGAGACTGGTAAGTGATGTGGTAGAAGTGAGGATGATTCTGTAGGCCTGGCTCCTCCCTGCCTCATGTGTGACTGTCTCCTCCTCTTTTTGTACCACACAGAGTCGTGTAGCCTGGATGCCAGCCTTTTTAGTCTTTATTTAGTATGTCCCTTAGTCGCTTCCCTGTCTTAAAGAGTAGGCTCTCACATATTTTGTCGATCTGGGGAGGATATCGCGTAATGAGCTTATTCAACTGTCGCGGTTGTGTCTGTGGGGTCTCTGATTGGATTACCTTTTGGAAGTGCTAAGGTTTGACCTATCAGCACGCCAGTTCAAATTCTTTACAAATATTCAAATCACAGATGGACATTATATGTGTGAGCCCAGTCTCTTTGTCAGGGAAGCGATTAAAGGAGTGTACTATATCTAGAAAAGCTGGCAATCAGGCTTAGAGTTGTCTACTCCTCCAACTAAAGCTATTTTCTTCCTCACCACCTCTTCTCTTGTAGCAAAAGAAGGTGTCCTTCGCAGGTTCAGAAAACCCCGGGGATGTAGAAAGGGCGGACACGAGTGCCAAGTTGGAAGATAAGGTCTGTCTTGAGTCGGTTTTTACAACCTTCTTTTGCTTCTAGAGACGAGGCTTCAGGCTGCTACCTGATCCAGAAAGTCTGTCTCAATGGAATTTTACAAAACCAGCAGCCATCGTACAATCAACAAGCAAAATATGCTGACATGGAGTTTATGTTCATTTTTCTTCAACTGTACCAAAACATGGAGTCAAATCCAGTGTATTTTTATTTCCAAGCAGATCATATGGTGGCAAGGCAGTATCCATTGTCCAGAGGAGTTTCAGTGGCTAATGGACACTCCTCTGGCCAATGGAAACTGCCTTGCCACAGTATGATCTGCTTGGAGATTACGTTTGTCTCTCCTTATGTCTGATCCTTCTTTTTTTGTGATTAATTGCTTTTCTGTATCTGTACCCCTCTTGTGTTTGTTTACTGGTATTCCACTATTTTGTTATCCTTCGTTGCTGTGTTTGTTTTGTTTACTGTGTACATTATATTTCATATTGCAGGTGCTTTATTTTGTGGCCAACTTATTTTGCAGCATGCCAGTGCAGTGGTGATATAAAAAAATGTCTGTTGAAGCTAACCTTAATATAATTATGCAGATTGTTTATATTCATGTAAAATCTTCCTTTTTGCAAGATAATGATTGTTAGACAAGGCATGCTCTGTGTGAAATAATGCATTTTATAGTATATATTACAGCTTTGCTAAAGATACGTCATAGACTTATGGTCACAGTATACATGATTGTTTAAATCATTTTTCTTTTTTACATACACTGCAGATTTAGATGATATCTGCACTGCAGCAATATCATTTAAGATAATAATGATGATGAAGACATTGCACTGTCTTTTGCATGCTAGTCATAAATAAGAAAAGGTCTTGCAAAATTAATGCATTATTTTTGCACCTTAGGCCATACCGATTCGATTATATGGATGACATCCTCTTGGGACCCCAAAACTGATGTGAGCATGCACAAAAAGATTTAGAAGTTTGGCAAAAAAATGCCTTCATCATAAAATCTAAATGGTCAGCTCTCACAAACTTTTTTGTGTGAAAAAAGCAACAGTGATTAGCTTGGTTACCAAACTTATTTAGCTGCCAAACATGATTCTTTTTTGTCCACAAGAATTTCCAGAGTGGACAAAAGAGATTTAGCAGCTAAAATAGGTTTTGTAACCAGGTTATGTGCAGATTAATCTCTAAGCAGATGTTCGGGTGATTTTTGGTGGCAAATGGATACTGTCTGGCCAATTTGATACAGCCTTTTGCGACCACCCAAGCATCTCTGTGCAGATGTTATCCATATAAATTATAATTTGGCCAGCATGGCCTTATATAATGTAACCAAGATTTTTTTGTTGCACCTTACATCTTGTGACATATATACTGTATAGTGGCCTACAGGATGACTAAGACATTGTGGTTCTGCCCTACAGGATGTAGAAAAGGAGCTGGAGCTGCAGATCAGTATGAAGCAGGAGATGGAGATGGCCATGAAGCTGCTGGAGAAGGACATCCATGAGAAACAGGACATGATCGTGGGGCTCCGCAAACAGCTGGACGACATCAAGGCCATCAACATCGACATGTACAAGAAATTCCAGGTCAGAATATTACTTCAGACAAGCACAAAATAAAGATCTTTAGAAATTACTGCTTAATCCATGATTTGGACTGTGGCAATGGCCAAGTGTACGCCTTGCATTTGGTAGGTCATGAGTTTGATCCCCAGCTGAGTCATACCAACGACTTTAAAAATGGTACATACTGCTTTCTCTGCTTAGCACTCAGCATTTGGGAAAGAGTATGGGAGTTAAATACACACTGCTACCAGTAGACCCTGCTATAGTGATTGCACAAAGCTGTGTGGCCCAAGTGCTATAGAACCGTAGATGGGTGCTGCCCTATGCACCTTCTGGTGCAGGAAGGACTTTGAGGTTTCAAAACCTCCAACCCTGCTGAATTCCCCATGACCCTCCCTTCCATTACATTCATTAGATGAATAAGATTGGAGCTAAGTTTCTAGCCAAGTTACCTACCAGTTTCCATGTTTTTGTACAGGCGGCTGAGGGATCACTGAAGCACAAGACAGAAATGTTGGTCAAACTGGAAGAAAAGTGTACACAAATGAGCCAGACTATTAAGGACATAGAACAGAGGTCAGTATGTCTTATATGTGCCAAATACAAATGATCTTGACCTAACAGCATAAGCGCTGGTCACTTGGAATCTTGAGGAGGTAAAAGGTGTAAGGAGAGGGATGGGCTCCACCTTCCACCCTAGACACAGTCGTTCAACAGCCCCTGCTGTCTCGAAAAGGCCATAGGACTACATTCAAGTTCTATGCTAATTCCGCACACAAAGTAAAGCTCTCATCAGCAAGCTTTCTGAATCTTTTTTTTTAAATCTGCCTCTAGATTTCCAAATTCCAAAGTGACCAGTATTACATGCTGTATGATTAACTAAATATATAACCTCATGTTGTAATATTATTCTAATTTGAGAGTTGGAACAGTAACGACAAAATAGGGAAGCGAGGCTTGTTTTCTGATGGCTAATACATATATCTTTGATTAGTGCATCGAGAAAGATGGATTCTATGTATAAAAGTCAAATATTGCTATCTTATAAAGCAGTTGAATATCATTAGAGGCATGACATCCCCCATAAGACCCCATCCTAACCACTATCCCATTCATATGACCAATCATTTGTAAGTTGTTCACAGGAGTGAATAGAATAATATCATTATAAAGTGTTTTAAACCAGAATATTTCTTGGTACTACTGGCATCTATGGTCTGTCTGGATGTATGTGGTACCATCTTAGTAATTTTGCTTTTTCCATTGTTTTCCTTGCATTCTCTCTCCTTCTATGATTTCTTGCCCTAATTTCCTTGCACACAAACATTTTTAGTAAAAGCAAAAAGACGGAACATGACGAACATGACTAAACTGGGAAGTTTAATGAATGATGACGCCTGTTATAGGGTCTCAATGTTTAATGTTGGTATATGGGACTATAGCTGTGGTCTATGTGCCTAGGGTATGCATTGCCAGGAAGCTAAAGTGAGTAAGTTCTGATCATTGGTGACGTGAAACGTCACGTTTGCGTGAAAGCTGTCATCACCTGAAGCGTGAAGGGACCGTTCTGCCGCCATCTTGTCCGATGTTTCGATGCCTTCACTAACATGCATTCACCCATAGCAAAGTACCGCTGCTTAATGTACAACTAAAGTACTACATAATGTGTCATGAATGCTGCAACTGTTGTGGAAAACTGACGAAGAAAAAACTTGCAGAATATTGAAGTTAGGAGAATTTGTCAGTGGATTCATGTTGGATCATGTTTCAAAATAAATGTGTACAATGTTGCTCAAGGTTTCTTCAATGTCATGTAAGGTTTGTTGCATACAAAGTCCTTTAAATATGACAGGGTGAAATGAGTGATGTTGTGTAGACATCACTTAGTCTTCCTTTTATTATTTTTTTAGTTAGAGTTCAGAAACAGGAATTAGTTAGGCTTATAAAGCATTGGTTTTACTTTATGTTATCACTTTTTAAAAGAAAATATTTATGACCTATCAAGGATATTTATAACTGAACCTTAAAGTCAGTTCCATTATTTATAATTCATTTACCCAAAATACTAGTAGCTTTAAATGACAAATAGATAAGTTGGCTTCAACTATCTGCCTTGTTCACATTCCATTGTTTACCAAACACAACACAACAAAACAAAAGATAATTCACTTGGAAAATTAGATAATAAACTTCTAAAGTGCTTCATTCAATCTTCCTCTTGGTTATATTCATTCATTCATATCATTGCTTCTCCTTTCTTGTGTTCCATATTTTATGCAACAATGCATTATAAGAAAGGGTATAACAGTGTGGGTAGGTTAAATTTCTGTAAAGATACTTTTGTTATTACTTATAAAGGCTGATTTTATTGCAACATCATTAACTTGTCTTTGTCTTTAGTTTTATCTTCATGAACATTTTTTCAGTTACATTGTAGTTGTTGTTACCTAGCTGAATACTATGGTAGACTTTACTATGTTTTTAAGACAATGAAGTAAAATTTGATAATATCTAAAAGTGGTTACTGCAAAACAACTATTAATAAGGAGAAACACAGATTGCTAATAAAACATGACATCTTAGTGTATAGAGTTGATAATATTGTATCCAAAATTAAAAAAGAAAGTACTAAAGCCATCCTGTGACTCCAGCCTGTGTTCACGTTAACATTAAAGGTGTTGTGATCTGCACAATGCAGCATCATACATTAAAGTTCCCAGATTGTTTGAATTAATTTAGCTTTTCCTATTACTTTCCTCCTTTTCTGTTGCAAAACCTTTTTTGCGTTCTTTCCTTTTCTTTTGCCCCGACTAGAGTGTGCCACTTTTTTCCGATCTCTTTTACCCTTTCGGTGGCGATCCTGTGTTTGCTGGCGTGCCTGGTCTTTGGTTGGTTTGTCATGGTTTTGCAGTCAGTTTTGTTGGGTTTTGTCGGTGTGTGTTGGTACAGACTGAAACAGGCCGAGAGAGAAAAGATGGGAGCAGAGGAGGCGGCCAGGAGGCTGGGTAAACAACTGGTGGACAAGGACACAAAACGGTTGGTGACATGACAGGATGAACGAAAGAATAAATGAAAGTACAGGAAGATAAATAAATGGATGGAGGGATGGATGAATGAAGGAAGAAAGGAAGGAAAGGGCTCTATTAGCAGATAACAATGATGGTAAAGCATAATTATATAATATAGGTATTTACTGATCTGCATCCTTAACTCTTTATCTTATGTGTCATTCCTCTCGTAAATATAATTCATGACTTCACTTTTGATGAACATAATTGTAGGGACACAAGCTAAGAAAACTGAAAATATATACAATTTTAGGTTAAAAAAATAAGGCTTAGTACATGATTGTGTGGATTGATAAATATAATACTTTTTTTCTAGACTGGATGCATTTTACTGTAGTTGCAATATTTGATGCACATTTTGTACCACACAAAAAAGGTGAATGATCTGTAGGATGTTTCTACTGCTAATTGTACAACATTTCTTTCACCCTTTCTCACCACAGGGCAGCAGTAGAAACAGACTTGAAGATAGAACGGGAGTGGAGAACAGCGCTGCAGCAGGACATCGAGAAACAGAAGGAAGTCATCCAAGAACTCCAGACAGAACTGCAACAGATGGAAGCTGTTAAAAAGGTACAAAATCTCAGCAGAAAAAGTGTTAGATGAAGGCTCAAACGTTTTGACAACGATTTTTATCATCCTTTTCCTTAAGAATGAGAGTTTGTAAGTTTTATGTATTATCTTGTCTTCCCCCAGGAGTTCCAGTCATTACAAGAAGCCCATGAGCAGTTAAAGCAGACATGTGAAGACCAGGAAAAGACATTAGCAGAAATGGGACATAAACTTAGCGAGTAAGTCAGGATCAGTAACACTCCCTTACCACTTGTGGCTGCAACTGATGAACATCAGATTCTGTAACGCACAGTATTGTTTCTATTTGTCTTTTGTTCTTATGGTCTGCTTTTTAATTGTAACGCCCTTCATCTTTTTGTTGAACTATCCAGTATCTTCCTATACTTACGCTGCTTCATGCTACATGTGTTTTCTGTTGAAATTGTAGTTAAAACGGATAGTCTCTCAAGAGAAGACTGAAATTGTTTATCAACACATATACAGTTACAGTCAAAATCCTAGGTGTTGTCTTGAGATCTCTTAACCATTCACAGCGATACAGTAACTGCATTGCTTCCTACAAACTCCTCTCTACAAACAACTCTATTAATTATCTCTTGCTATACACTAGTAGCAAATTTCCTGTCTATGTACTACAGAAAAACGTACCATATATTTTGCAGTACAACTGTAGTTAGTGATGGTCTCTGTTTGGTGTTTTTGTAGGTCAAAACTCAAGATGGAGGACATGAAGGAAGCATTGAAAGATGAATTAAAAGTAGGTGGTTGATTCTTTTCATTTCTTTGCTAAATTATAAATATAACATCTTTTCTTTGTAATTTTTTTGCTGTGATTTTGCTTTTGGCTCTATGATTTGCTTAACAATGGTCACTGTAACAAACTGTAACAACTTAAGATACAAACATACAGAGGAAGGCATGTTCTGTAATGAAACCTTACTATAAAAATCATATGGATTTGTAGATGACCAGGGTTACAAAATTGTTACTGTAAAAGATTTTTTTCCTTGTGTAGCTTTTTTACTTGGAGTGCAGTTATTTTGTTTTTATATGTTAATGTCTAACTGTGTGTCTGTATGTGATGTATTCTCAGTAACTGCAGAATGAAGTAGATTAACATTCATGGGTTACTGTAATTAATTCCATTTCAAGAGTTCAGGAGAGATAGCCGAGGGGCGTTGGGGGCAAAAAATGGCTCTGCTCCCCCTCCTGATATTCTAAGTGGAAGACTCCACGTTTATCAGGCACCAATAAATTTTGCATGAGAGAAAAGGACATAAACCTTGTAGAATATTTATCTAGGTACATGTATAACAGGCATGATGACTTAGGAGTTTTTCTACCATAGCAATGCAGATGCTAGTACTGTATTAGCTGCTATGATGATAGCATTAGGTAATGCTTTACTACATGTTATGCCATTTACACAGCTTTTGTTTCATTTTCATGTTCCGTTGCAGTTCAACCAGGTAATGTGCTAGCTAATACAGTTTGGGTCTGCAAAATTACACTAACTGCTATTAAAGAAAAGCCTTAAATCAGTTCTATGTAGTTTAGAGATTTACATTTTCTGACAAAAATATTAACTGCTTTTTCTTCAATAATTAACTTTTCCTTTTAGCAACTTTTCTGCAACTCCTGATTTTAAGGAGCTGACATATGTAGAATTTGGAATCACTTAGTGTTACTACTCCTTCATTACTCAAGACATTAAAATTGCTAGCTGTAGTGTTTGTCTTTATTTGGTCTTTATCAAATCTCTAAGGCTCTTTAATAACAAATTCTTCCTAACCTTAATTCTACCTAAATGTCTAAATGACACTAGATATGCCAACTAAACAATAGATAAAAATCATTTTCAGTATCGTTAACACTTTCCAAAACATACAGTGTAAAATGTTGATAATCTAAACTGAACGAAAAGAGCAGTTTTATACAGTCTCTTGCCAACCAAATTATTCAGTTACAAACTCAAGGTAAATAGTAGTGTAATGTTGAGCCAGTGTTGACTGTATGTCCCATGTTGTCTCCCCAGGATAAGGTATGGACTGATGATAAGGATGTAACAGACTGCAGACAGTGTGAAAAACAATTCTCTGTATCCAGGAGAAAGGTAAGTCTTCGATTCTCTTCAAGATGTGACCAAATTATGGCTTACATGTATATTGTATACACACATCTGGCACATGTTCAATGTGCAATTGACAGATTTCCCAGACACATGTAAAAGATAGACCGTTATATTGCACTTGCTTGAAATTTCCTCAATTCAATTCTTGTCTTAGAACTTATCACACAATTTCTTGGTTTTGTTTTCTCTCCCTTTCCAGCACCACTGTAGGAACTGTGGAGGCATATTCTGTAATGACTGCTCAGACAACAAGATGCCCCTCCCCTCCTCAGCAAAGCCTGTACGTGTGTGTGACCAGTGCCATACCAAACTCCTAGAAAGATACAGTGCCGTTGTGGACTAGTAGAAAAATATCACGTCTCTTATTCAATACACCTTTCTCAAATCTAGAGTGTACTTTTGTGTTTGAAAATGTTGTTGTCTTGATTTGTTAGCTTTAGTACTTCTCACTCAACCAAGAACATCTAGTATAATGCCAGAAATTCAACTTCTACCCTCCCCGTTGCTAGAACCTTTCCTGACTTTTGTTACGGTTTCATTTTGTAATATTTTATGTATGTGGAAGAAAACAGATCAATCTTATAGCATTTATTCCATTCAGAACTCTGTAATATGACCATAATGCTGCTTACTATTGTTTTGTGCCATATGTGGTCTTTGATATACTAGCAGGCATTCTACTTGTATTGCTTTAGTTAGCTTCTTGTCAAGAATGAATTTTTGCTTTTCAACATTGTTGTCTCAGAGTGAGACAGTTTTCTGTAATTATAGACTAAATTGGATGTTTGAAATTAAATGTTTGTAAAATTAGTTTGTGCAAATAACATTAGCTTTCTACAGTATAACAGAAATGAGAGATCACAGAAATGGTTTCTATTGCAGGGTACAGCAAAAATGGATGTCATGAAATTATTATGATGCAAGAAAATACAAACTGATGTACAAAATGTACTAGGTAAATCCTTCCATCTCCATTATGAACAGGTAGAAGTAGAAAGTTGTTTCTTTGTTTAGGTACAATCTTGCCATTAAGTGTCATGTTGTCATTGTCAGCTTATGTGATCTGGTGCTATCTTATGATGTATATGATTTCTGTTTAGACTTCCAATCCAATACTTTTGAAAAAAAGGAATTTTTGGCCTGGAGTTAGTTGACCCATTGGTACTTTTCACAAACTGATCTTACCAAAGTAGTTCTGTCATTATGAAGAACTCAGGAGGTACTTTACTTTTCTGGGGTGAAGTACTGATCTGGTACAAGTGCACATGTTATTATGTGTAATTAATATGTCATCTCAAAAGCATTTTCTGCTGCCAAAATGAATTATAAACTGTCTTTGAATGCCTTCTGTCCATAGAGAAAGTGCCTGAGCTTATTGCGCACTATTTATTTTACCATTTGAAATGATAATGTACAGAGAATGGCTTCCAAGCAATGGCTATTTAAGATATTTTATGGAAAGATTATCCAATATTTCAAAATTAGCATTTATCATTCTAGATTATGGATAACTGTCATCAAAGGTCAGTGAAATTTTATGGCAGTTTTCTATGTTGTGCAGATATAGGACCAAATGTACAGCTAGGTCGATGAATTTGTCTATACATCATTTGTGTTTCAATGTTAAGAGATGCATCGCTTGTGATGAACTTTGTAAAGCAACTGTCGGTGAGAAGTGTTGTTCTAGTGCATTGTATTTGTTATTGACATAAATGTCTTTCTGTTTACTGTATCTAAAAGTTGCAACAGTATAGTTATGAGTAAAAGTAGTATGCAGGTACAAGTAGTTATGTAATACTTTACTTTAGCATTCTTTAGATTAACTTTTTAAATAAGTTTGGGGGAGGATTTTGACCGACATCTGACATTTTCAAACTCATACTTTTGATAGTACAATGTAATTTAATACTGCAATTTGCTATGGAGGATTCCTAAGGACCAGCTGATGGTAACAATATTTGGACAGCTAGAATTTTATGAATAAAGGCTGGAATGAATTGAGTCGAATTGTATAACCTCAATTGTGATGTGAGAAAACAATTACAAGACAATGCATTATTGTATGCTAACTTGTGTCCAAGTTAGAATCATTTTTATCTGTCAAGCTGCCCACTTAATTGAATAATAAGGACAGGGCAACCCTCAGAATATAGGCTTGAAGTTGAAGCTTGTTTTAATGCTTGTTTCTTAGGTTTTCATTGAAACTACACAATTGTTGCATCAAGTATCAATACAGAATTTATCCCAACAATTATGCTGAATTGGTGGACAATAAACAAGAAGTATCCCTTTGCTTTAAACACCCCGTTTGTTCGTATCTGCTTCCTTCTACATGTAGTTCCAAGCATGATGGTGGTATCCTTTCCAACAGCGAACCTGCAACAGCGCCCTCTTCTGGATTTATGTAGAAGCACACTTCCCAAGCTCCGAGCTCCACCTGTCCAACTGCGTGTGGGCCTACCTCTTGTACGCATTTAGAAAACATGTCGCATCTATGGAAAAATGTTTTAGAATGACGACATTCCTTACCTTCGCCAAAAAGGTTACGTTTAATTTTCGGTAGCGTTTGTTGTTATACTAGATTTTTAACCTCCTTGGTTACTCCGTGAACATTGAACGGTAACTGTCAGTCACAAAGTTTCAAAGTTAAAATCAAACCCGATTGTCTGGCCTCGGGGTTGACATCTTGAAAAGCAGATAGTCACATTTTGAAAAGGTGAGAGTCACCTGTTATGTCAGTCCAGAAATGTCGTAAATCACGACAAATAACGGTAACTTTGACAGATGAAGGGCGAATAGTCAACAACACGCTGAGTCTAATTTTAGTTCCTGACCTTCAGTAGCCCGCAGGTGATCTATGTGGTAATTGACCTTGTCCACAACTCGCCAGGGTACAGTACTACACTATAAAGAAGATGTTTTTTTACACACCACTATTCATGGCCGCCACAAACCCTACACCGCGGACTTCCTGTCTTTTGTCGCAAAGCTCTGCGCGCGTATTAAAAAAAGAAGCTGAAACCTCCAGTTTCGTCTTACCGTCACACAATGTCGGTAACCCGTGTGACCAAGGAGCTTTAAAAGGCTGTTTGGTATGACAAATAAACAAATTAGACAGTGAAAACAAACAGTAGGACAGTGCCTGAAACAAGCAGGATTGTCCTGCAATTGCGATCAGCCTATGGACATGTCTAAACTCTCCCTCAGTGTGATACAGAAACATTTTTTGGCGACGCCTCAGGGGCGGAGCCGTTAGTATAGTACTGCGATCGAGTTGAAAATATTCTAAAAATTCCGTCAATGCATTCCCTAGGGAATTACTTGTTTGAATGACTCTGTGTTTGTACACAGCAAGTAGGGATATCTAAAGTGATGGTTGATCTTTTGCAGAAGTCTTTTGTGTAAAGTTTAATGGCTTAGTGATCAGTCGATAACTGGATACTTTATAAGTAGGAAAGGCCTATGTTACCATGCATGCATAAGGCACCTTTTCCGGCCAACTGTGGGTTTTTGCACACAGAATATTAATGATTGTCTTTATTGATATTTCAAATATATTCTCTTCTATCAAGAGAGAAAAAATAGAATAAAATAAAACAGAATAATTTTGTTGCTCATAAGAAAGAACAAGGAGCAGCATATTCAAGCTTAAAAGAATAATGTTTTAAGTAAGTTTTTAGTTTCAACCATATGATGCTGGGCTTTTATTTATAACTTAACTGTGTGCTAATGATGATGTTTTGTGTGTTTTCCACCATGCGTGTTTGTGTCAGTCTTGCTTTTTTTATTCATATTTTTTCTTTGCTTTCACGATGCTGCTGCATTCAATGCTTGTTTTTTCACTCTTCTTGCGTGCAAAACATGAATGCACACCCCGATCCTTCCTTGACTGGGCTTCGTGCTTGCCAGTGAATCCCTGCTGTAGTCTGCATCTCAGGGTGAGACATGGCGAAATTTACCTGTGGACACAAAAAGAGAAAAGCAAATGAGGTCCATATTTGAATAAGTTATGTGATTTAATGATGTTTACCTTCACCTAACTTTCAAATGCCCTAGGTATGAAATTCCAGGCAGTTACCATTGCTGAATTACAACATTGCTGAATTTCTCATTAATTATGCAAATTAAATCTTAATTTACATAATATCTGCCTGTGTTTCTCTCGTTCGCAATTACATATGCCACATGCTTTAATAGTCCTATCATGTAATTTAACTGAATCATGGCACGGGGGCCTGGCACCCAGGCTACATTGTTTTCCCAGCAATCATTAATCATAGAAAGCATGGTACTTTTCAAAACTCACACAGCTTATCGTGAAGAAGTACTATAGAGATGCGAA